CAATGATGATGTTGATAAAATAATTGAGGACATCACAGATATCAACGTTAGTAATCATAGCAACGATAATCTCAATGAGAACATTGCAGATAATACTGAAGCAGATATTATTGACATTAATACTGATATCGATAACAACAATGATGATGTTGATAAAATAATTGAGGACATCACAGATATCAACGTTAGTAATCATAGCAACGATAATCTCAATGAGAACATTGCAGATAATACTGAAGCAGATATTATTGACATTAATACTGATATCGATAACAACAATGATGATGTTGATAAAATAATTGAGGACATCACAGATATCAACGTTAGTAATCATAGCAACGATAATCTCAATGGGAACATTGCAGATAATACTGAAGCAGATATTATTGACATCAATACTGATATCGATAACGATAATGATGATGTTGATGGAATAATTGAGGACATCACAGATACCAATGTTAGTAATGATAGCAACGATAATTTCAATAAGAACATTGCATATAATACTGAAGCAGATATTATCAACAATGATATGGCAGACAGTTATAAATCAGATGATAATCATATTTCGGCTGTTGTAATTCAGATCCTGTTAACATTAATTCAAATATTCTTAGTTCAGATGTAATCAATCAATAATGACAATGATTTAGATAGAAATGTTAACAATAATTTAGACATAGATGGCAGTGATAGTAATAATATAATAGATATTGATAATGTGGATGTTAAAGAAGTTGATGTTAATAATGATGTAGATGATGAATATTAAACATATAACAATATTCAATATTTTCAATATTAATAATTATTATTACTATAGAAATTTAGAATAAAAAAAATAGAAATTTAAAATTATATTGTATATAATCTTTTTTTTTTCAATTCTTGTAGATCCTAAAAATAAATTGATCAAAAAAATAAAATACTTTCTTTTGCTAATATAAATTGTATAATATATGAAAAACGTTATCCATTTTCATTACCTTCATTGTTTTATCAAAGAGGAGGCTTAAAAGGCTGCGAATCGTTCATTTTGTATATATTGATTAAATGAATTCAAAAAAAACAAAAATCAACACTGAATCAAAAGCAATAAAATTAATAAAATTTCGTAAAGAGCTTCCAATTTGGAAGGGTTGGTTTACTTTTATTTTGGATTCAAATTTAATTTATTAGCAACTCTTAAAATTGAAAATCTGATTCTACTAGAACGAAAAAAACTAATTAAAACTGTAAAGGAAAATGATACAATTATAATTATGGGCGAAATGGGTAGTGGGAAAAGTACACGTAAGTAAGTGAGTAGGTGATCCCATCCATTAAACTTTTTTCAATCAAATTATATAATGATTTAAAACAAAATTTTATAATCGTAGAAACACCACAATTTTTATTGCAAGCAGGAATTTCATCAAATAAAACAATTGCTATAACACAACCAAGACGTGTTGCTGCAATTAGTTTGGCTAGAAGAGTTTCCCAAGAAGTTGGAACAGAACTTGGCCAAAAAGTTAGAGAAACTTCACAATTTTATATCTGAATTCCCTTTATTTACGATATATTACATTCATTTATTGGTTTCAAAAAAAACTTTTTAACAACAAGGTAGGATATTCAGTTAGATTTGATGACAAATCCTCTAGAAATACCACAATCAAATATTTAACTGATGGTATGCTCTTACGTGAACTGTTGTCTGATCCACTACTCATGAATTATTCGATTGTGATTTTGGATGAAGCACATGAGCGAACAATGAGAACAGACATTCTTTTTGCTATGGTTAAAAGAGCGCAAGAATCGAGAAAAAAGATTGATAGTGACGACAACAACAACGTCAATAACAAAAGATCACGAGAATTAAAAATAATTATTATGAGTGCTACATTAAATGCACAAAAATTTGCATTATATTTCAATACGTAAGAATTTAAAGGGTTTTTTTGTATTAATTATATACTTTATTATAGACATATATTAACAATAATGTTTTCTGATACTGTAGGAATACAATATTGCAAATTCCAGGACGACAATTTCCAGTCACTGTTAACTATTTACCTAAATCACAACCTGATTATTTAGATGTTGCATTAATTACAGTAATGAAAGTTCACACCGAAGAGCCACAAGGCGATGTTTTGGTATTTTTACCTGGTAAGTATAGTTATTCGATTAATTGATTGATTTGTTTAGTTGTCTAAATTAATATTATTTATTATTTTCATCATGTGTAAACATACATACATACATACATACATACATATACAGGTCAAGAAGATATAGAAATTCTTGAAAAATTAATCAACGAATGTGGTACCACGCTACCTGCAGACAAAATGAAGGTATTGATTGACTTCACAATATTTGTAAATATTTTAACTATTAGATATTGATTACTTTATTTTTTTGCAGGTTATTACTTGTTTATTGTTTGCTGCTCTTCCTACTGAACAACAGACCAAGGTTTTTGATCCAGTTCCACCTGGAGCTCGTAAAATTATTTTAGCAACTAATATCGCAGAAACTTCTATTACCATCAGTGGGGTTCGCTATGTGATTGATACAGGTAAATGTAAACTTAGACAATACAATGCAAGGATCGGAATGGAAATTTTATCAATTGAAAATATTTCAAAAAATTCTGCAAATCAAAGAATGGGAAGGGCTGGTAGAGAGGTAATATATGTTTAGGATCAAAAAGTAATTTTACTTTTCTTTTATTCTTTTCAATATTAAATTTTAAATATTATTTTATATTTTATATACATAGTCACCAGGAATTTGCTATCGATTGTATACTGAAGAAGAATATAACAAATTGGAAAAAGATACTGAACCAGAAATTAAAAGATGTAATCTTGCTTCAATGATTTTGTTGTTAAAGACACTGGAAATTAATAATGTTCTTGAATTTGATTATTTTGACGCACCATCAAGAACCCTAAGTAAATATTATAATTAATATATATATATATATATATATTAATTAAGTAATTTAATACTTTTTCATATTTATCTATTTCTTAAAATTAGTTAAAAGGGCTTTGGAGCAATTGTATATTCTTAAAGCCCTTGATAATCAAGGCAAAATAACAACACTTGGTAGAAAAATGGCAGAATTTCCACTCGAACCTGCTTATGCTAAAGTCCTTATTTCTTCACAAGTATATATATATAATACATCCATACATATAAATCTATATTTTATATGCATATTTAAAAAATTATTGGTTTTTTATTTAGGAAATGTCTTGTACTAAAGAAGCGATTGATATTGTTTCTCTTTTATCAGTTGATTCAATTTTTTTCTCTCCACAAGATCAACGTGAACATGCTACAGATATGAAGAAAAAGTTCGTTTCACCTTTAGGTGATTTAATCACATTCTTGAATGTATTGCATGCGTACGAAGTTCAAAAAGGAAATTCAGACTGGTGTCAAAAAAATTTCATTAATAAACGCAACATGAAACACATTGTTGTAAGCAATTTTTACAATCATATACTATTTGTTATTATTTTATTATTTAATATTTAAATTAAAATATTTACGAAATTTAGGATGTAAAGAGACAACTAATACAACTTTGTGGGCGTTTGGGTATTTCTCCCACGAATTCTTGTGGCAATGAATATGATCAAGTTTTAAAATGTATATTATGTGGATTTTATAGGAATTCTGCTATTTTACAACCTACTAATAATTATAAAACCATAGTAAATAATCAGGTTAGCCGGGAAATATATATAATTACGTAGATCAATAAGTTTAATTTTAAAATTTAAATTAAAAAAAATTTTTTTTTTAATTAAAGGTTGTTAATATTCATCCTTCCTCTACATTATTTAACAAAAAAGTTGAAACAGTAATGTATATAGAATTAGTAAGTAGTGTATATAATATTAATATATATATTATTATTAACTATTTTTAATTTATTATTATTAATTATCAACATTGCTAGGTTTTAACTTCAAAACCTTATATGAAACACATATCTGCAATCCATAGTAATTGGTTGTTTGATTTAAAACCAAACACTTCATCCGTATAGAATAATAAATTAACATTAAATTATTCAATTATTTATAATAATCCTTGTCTCTTTAAGTCATCATAAGTTTTCTTATTAAAAACATTTCCGTCCAGATCCTCAAATTCTTCCATAGTATCTGCTTTGAATTCATCTGTCTTACTTGAGCTTTTAAGTTTTTCCCATACTAGAAAATTCAAATTCAAATAAAAAATATTAATATATAAATTATATTCCAACTAGGAGAATTTTTTATTATTTGCTTACATGCATAAGCATCTTCAATTAAAGTAATTTCATGAAAATGTCTTGTATTAGGTATTCCCAAACATCTCATACCATGTGCATGTCTCCATTCCTATAAATATTAATTCAAAAAATTTTTGTATCATTTAGATTGTGCTATTTTTAAATATCAAATAAAAAAAATAAAAGATCATTATAATTTCTTTATTTCACCTGAAAATGCCTATCAAATGCTTTTCTACCCATGTAAACATAATTACCACAAATCTCACATGGATATTCTACACCAAGTCCATGCAATTTATAAAGCCAGTATGGAATTGGTTTACCATCCCATCCTAATGGCAACTTAAGTGGATTATAAATTTTATCTTCATCTTCTGACTCACTTTCAATATCGTCAACTTCTTCAGCCTCCAATTCCATCTATTTGTTTTTAGAGGAAAAAATAAATTAGAGTAATTTTTTAATTGATTGATCGATTGATTAATTGATACATTACTCTACGTTCTCTATCGGTCAATGCACGTTTTCTTTCAACATTTGCCTTGGTATCTTCATGTTGAGCGCCTAATTTTTCTGAATATTTTTGTATCAAGGCTTCTAAAAATGCAATTTCACGTTCTCGCTTATCTTTATTTCCTTCAAAATCCTTTCGTAATTTTTCTTGTGTCTCATAATCCACTGTTGTAACGCCCTTTTCCATCATTGTATTTGCAGCTTTAATATGTTTTTTACTGGTTAAATGTGCATCATAGACAGTTTTCTTTGAATATGATTTGCAACCTAGAAATAAATTATTAAAAAGTTAATGAAAATGAAAATAATTCTTAGTAAGATAACTATCACATCACATCACATACATGCTACACAAAACAAATCTCCTGAAACGTTTGATCCAATTTTTTTTTCCCAACCAGGAAATTTTCCTTGGGACCATTTCTCATTAAATTCTTTTTCTACTTCATTACGTATACTTTCTAAATTGGATAAAGGTTTGACCCTTTTGAAAAAACTTTCTAAATAATCACGCAAATCTTTCAAGTATCTATAATCAAAAATAAATATCATAAATTTTTAATATATATAAATATTATATAATTCTAGAATAATCAAATATAAATTTTACTTGAAATATTCTCCATTTTTATATTCTTTTGGATAATCTGAGAAATGATCAAATTCAGTTAAAAATGTCAAATAATCAATCTTTTTTACATTTTTTAAATTCACGTATTGTTCATGAATAGAATGTAAATCTAAAAATTTTCCATGGCCTTCTTCACCAGAAAACAATTTTTCAAGTTCTAAATAAAAAATAAAAAATATTCAAATATTAAAATATTGTTATAATTCATAAATAAATAAATAAAAATTAATAATTTATTTACCATCATCTTCTGTTATTTGTTTAGCTTGATTGATAAATTCTAATTCCAATGGCTCAACTGTTTCATTTGGATAACGCCGATGATAATCTTTGGTTGATTTCAACCTTGCATAAAACTCGCTAAATTCTGAAGTTCCTGACAAAGCGTCTATTTCAGATTTACGTGCTCTTTTTAAGATCGATTAAAAGTTGTAATAAATTTTTATTTTTATATTAATTAACAAAAACTTTTAAATAATTGAAAATTTACCCATCAGTATCATCATATAATTCATATAAAAATTTACTTCTTAAACTTATTCTATCCAAAAAATCATTAACTCTATGTTCTCGTACTAGCCGATCTTTATGCTAATAATAATAATTATTATTATTAAAAAGATAAAAACTATTTTTTAACTATAGCAAAACAAAAGATGCAAACCAACCGATTTTGGATCTTTCATAAACTGATCAACAATTGCTTGTTCCAGGCGTTCAATTTCTTCGTGCGCTTTTCTTTGTTGTTCTAGTATACTTTCCATTTTTTACTTTCCAAATTTTATAATAATGATAATGTTTGATTTTATATTCATTCATTGGATATTATTGCAACTTGAATTTGTGTAACGTCTATTATATTTAAAAATTTTTTTTTGCTAGGTAAATATTTAATCCATAATTTTATAACCTAAATTGAATAGAAATATAATAAAAAAGATGAAGGATATTTATAAGGACGAAGAGCTTGATATACCTGAAGAGGTAGAAGAAATTAGTGTAAAAGCACGAGTGGTTACTGTTAAAGGACGGCTTGGCAAATTGACGAAAAGTTTTCAACATATCAATTCGGAAATACAACATCTTAAGAAAGCCAAAAAGATTAAACTTATTGTTTGGCATGGGACTCGTAAGCAAGTTGCCTGTTTACGTACAGTCAAAACGCATATTAAAAATATGATAATTGGAGTCACAAAAGGATTTGAATATAAGATGCGCTATGTTTATGCACATTTTCCAATCAATGTTCATATTGATGGAAGTGATGTTGAAATTCGCAACTTTATAGGTGAAAAAGTGATCAGGCGAGTTAAAATGTTGGAAGGTGTTACGATTAAAGTTTCAAAAGATCTAAAAGATGAATTGGTTCTAACTGGTAATGATTTAGAAAATGTCTCACAATCAGGTAAATAATTAAAAATGTATTTTTAATTAATAATTGTCGATTCTTTTTATTAATGTGCATTATTATATTATTATTTGAAAAGCTGCCGATATTCAACAATCAACCACTGTTAAAAATAAAGACATTAGAAAATTTTTGGATGGTGTTTATGTTAGTGAGCGTAATATATTAGAAGAACCTCAAAATTAATTATAAAATAATGCAAATACGCTTGATGTCACATGATTACCAGATGCTCATTTTTTCGTCAAACTCTTTGCTGTTCCACGGATAGCTACCATTTTAATTCAGAACGCGAATTAACACGTCCTTTTACTTTTTCATCTTTTCCCTACTTTAAAGTTTTTTTTTTTTTTTTTTTGATAAAGATAAAATAAATATCAAACATACAAATATTTGTTGTATGTAAATATGCCACAGCAAATTAAGAATTCCAAAAAGTTTGTTTCTCCGGTTAAAAGTACCCAAACTTCTCTTTGGTCCTTTATTAAAAAGGAACCACCTTCTCCAACTACTGATTCTGAGGCTCAAGATTATAATAATAATAAACTATCAGACGACACAAGACTGTCTGATGACCCCGTGACTCCAAAGTCAATAAAATCAAGGGTAGGCAATAAAGACGCAGAAATTTTTATGCAAGAAGTTGAAGAGAAAGAAAGTAGTAGCGGTGAGCTGGTAGGCTTAGAAATTGACACACCTGTATTAGGAAATAGAATTTTGAGGGTTGTTATATTATTATTATTACTATTGTTTTTTAGATAATACACAAGTTTATTACGATAGATAAAATATTTTGTATTGAAATAAATTTTATTTATGTTTTTTCATATAGAATAGTAGAACTTTTAAACGAAAGCTTGTTTTTTCATCTGACGAAGAGGATAATGAAGATGAAAATGATATGAACTTTATTGAATCACCTTGTACGATAACGTTTTATTAAATTATTATATTTCTAATTTCTAATTCCTAAGTTAAAAAAAACTTTTTTCAATTAACAATAGTAAAAAATAAAACAATTTCCCAGGGAAAAACATCTAAAAAGGCCAATAAAAAAAATGACGATAACGAGGACGATGAGTATATGGAAGACTTTATTGATGACACACTTGAAAAAAACAGTAACGATGATAATGGTACTTTCTAGCTATTCAATTGGCATCATCTGATCTTTTCAAAATAAAAATTTTATTAAATGTTTGCTAATTGTGTATTTACATGCTGATAGAAAATGATTATGAAAATGATGATAGCGAAGATTCTCCAAGCAATTCCAAGAAAGTGACTAGAAAAAATCAAAAGAAATACAAACCATCAAGAGAGAAGTTTAAGGTTTGATAAAGGAATTGATCTACTTAGCACATGACAATGAAACAAATTAAAGATTTGTTTATTTTTTTAAAAAAAAATTAGTCATTTGTATCAACTCGTAACAACAATTTAGATTTAACAGAACCAGGAACCAAAAAGAAAAAAGTAATTGTTTAATAAATTTTTTTCTAATAGCTGTAGACTTTGATATTAACTATTTTCAACAATTGATAAAATTAGAAAATAGATCAAAGATATGATTGGCTCAAGAGGGTTCGCGATGCAAATGGAAACTTCGAAGGTATAATTTTTAATTTATTTATTACTTTTTTTATAAAGTTTGGTGGTGCAATTTTTAACCAATTTGGACTCTTGTGTAATAGGATCGCCTAACTATGATTCACATTCATTACTCATACCAAAGGAAGCTTGGAATAAATTTACTCCATTTGAAAAACAATTCTGGGAAATCAAATGCAAACATTGGGATACTGTATGCCACCCACACATATATTTTATTGTATACACGTTAAATTATCCATTAGTCAACAATTTAAGATAATTAACAATCTATTTATCAATTGAACAAATCGCCTTTTAACTATTCTATTTTTGTTTGAATAAATAGATTGTATTTTTTAAAAAAGGAAAATTTTATGGTAAATAATAATAATTTTTATGTGCTGAGAAATATTTATTTATGTTCATATTTTAAAATCGGATTTTTCCATAGAATTATATGAACGTGATGCTCTTATAGGCCATTCTGAATTCGATTTGAAGCTTACTACACGCGTCAATATGTGTATGGCTGGTGTTCCTGAAGCTTCATTTGAACATTGGGCTGCAAAATTTATTGCTAAAAAGTTGGTTATTTAAAATTTTTACTGAGGATAAATTAATGATCACATTATTTATGACTTATGAAAAAAATTTTGTATATAGTCATAAGGTTGCTAGAGTAGATCAAATGGAAACTGCTCTTGGAAAGGAAATGAGAGAAAAGGCTACCAAAACCAAGGTATTTTTTGTAACTAATTGAAAATTATTATTATAATGTATATATATATATATATATGTATACTAAAAAAAATTTTATCTATAGGAAGATAAAATAATTCACCGTCAACTTACATCAATTTTTACTTCTGGTACTATTGTGGATAGTGGATTATTGACCAACGATATGTCAACATATTGTATGTCAATTAAGGTAGTAATGATAATAACTAATTTCGAATCATTTTATTTTACATTATACTATTATTAAACAAGATTTATTTTAGGAATATTGTCCTACTGAAAATAGTCCTCCAAGCTTTGGAATTTGCTTTGTTGATACCTCAATTGCAGAATTTAATTTCACGTCATTCCAAGATGATATTGATCGAACTCATTTTGAAACATTAATCATGCAAGTTAAACCAAAGGAAATTGTTTATGAAAAAGTATTTAATATATTATTCGTTTATTTAATTTTTAATTCTTTAATAAGATCATTATGCTTTAAACAATATAAAAAACTAAATAATCATCTGTATCAATCATACTAGAAAATGCTCAGTAAATCTTCATTTCGTATCATCAACTTATGTATTCATTCTCCAGTAATAAATGCCTTGATTCCTGGAAAGGAATTCTGGGATGATTCTAAAACCCTGGATGAATTAAGATTGTCACATTATTTTGTTAACAGGCCTCAAAATACTTTGAATGATAATGAAGAAGACGATGAAAATAATATGGAAATTGATTATTCTGTTGAAGGAAATCGTTGTGATATGAGTATGTATTTTTATCTAATTAGTATTAATCATATAATTATTTTGATTCAAAAAGATTTTTTTTTTAATTTAAATTAAAGAAAATTGGCCAAAAGTTATCCAAGAAGCTTGCGAAAAACCTTTGTTATTGTCTGCATTTGGTGGTAAGGTTGTTTTTTTTAATCGATTTAAAAAGCATTTTTTAAATTTTCAAATTTATTGATTCACTTACTAAATTAAACAGGCCTTATTTGTTACTTACGTTTGGTAAGTAAATATGTAAACCATGTCAATATACACATACATGCACAGTTAAAATTAAAAATTAATTATATCATATGTATTAATAATAATTTTTATTATAATGAACGTTATTTAGTTAAAGCTTGATAAAGAACTTATATCGGTTAAAAATTTCCACAATTATGACCCAATTCATCATGCCACATCACTTATACTTGATGGACAAACTCTCGCAAATCTTGAGATTTTTGAAAATAATATGGATCGAAGTGACAAAGGAACTGTTTTTAATTTGTTGAATCATTGTGTCACTCCATTTGGTAATTCCTTTATTAAATGATAAGAAAAATCATTAGACTCAAATATACTATAATGTATACATATTATTAATTTACATTATTATTATCATTTTAATTTAGGTAAGCGTACCTTCAAACAATGGTTGTGTCACCCACTTCTTTCAGTTGATAGAATTAATGAACGCCTTGATACTGTTGAAGAGTTGATGAAAACTCCTGTCTTTGGTGATATATTTTATGAAAACTTTTCTAAATTTCCTGATCTTGAACGTTTGATTAGTCGAATCCATGCAAAATCATGTAGAATGAAGGAATTTGTAATTGTATTAGCATCTTTTGAGAAATTATTGGTTCGTATTATTTCAAAGTAAAAAAATGAAATTTCTATTAAACATATCTAGTTATATTTGATAAATTATATTTATAATTATATAATTTTTTTAAATTTATATAGAAAATCATGGATAGGTTACGCGGCTTTGTTGGTGACTTTAGTTCCATCAAGTTAATTCAGTTAATGAACAAGTTGCCAGATTTAAAATCAGAACTTTCATACTTTATGGATGCATTCGATCATAAGACTGCTAGTGAAAAAGGTATCATTAAATTATAACAATAATACATATATTATGCAATATATTCTAAACTAAATTTGTGAAATTATATAGGTGAATTAATACCAGTCAAAGGGATTGATGCAGAATTTGATAGGATTAATGAAGTATTGAAAAATATTGAAAAGCAATTAGATGATCACTTGACAGCCATGAAAAGAAAATTAGGGTAAAATTGGACAGGCATTTTAAGTTGAATTCGAATTTATATAATATATATATATTTGTTAATAATTCTATTTTTATAAAACGAAAATAGATGTGACAAACTTGTTTACAAAAATGTTGGCAAAGAAATTTATCAAATTGAGGTACCAAATAATACTCAAGTACCAAACAATTGGCAAAGACTTTCACGTACTCAGGTAAGTTATGGTTTTTAAATTTTGACCAGTTTATATACTATTGATATCGAAATATTTTTTTAATTTATCAAATTCTAGAAAGTATGTCGTTATTGGAATGCAGATCTGAAAAAACTTATTAGAAGTTTCCAGGAAACTTTAGAATATAAATCTAATACTCTTAAATCTCTACAAGGAAAATTTTACGAAAAATTTGATACAAATTATCAAGATTGGTTGCTTTCTGTTAAAATTGTTGCAGAGATTGATTGTTTATTAAGCTTGGTTAAAAGTTCATTGGCATTAGGCGGTAATATATAATTCTTCATTTTTTGATCCTGAAATTTAATTTTGTGCTATTCTAAATTTTTAAATGATGTTATTATTTTATATAGAACCTAGATGTCGTCCTCGATTTATTAAAGAAGGCTCAAGTGTATTAGAATTTGAAGAACTGAGGCATCCTTACGTAGTGACAGGGTATGATGTTTATCATTTATTTAGATTTTTTTTCAAATATTCATGTATTTATTTATTTATTTATTTTATATTATAATAACAGTGTTGCAAATGATTTCATACCTAATGATACTTATCTTGGAGGTAAAGAACCAAATATAATCCTATTGACAGGCCCTAACATGGGTGGTAAATCAACTCTTTTACGTCAGGTTTGTATTTAATTTAGTTTTATTATTAAAAGAGTATTCATTATAATCGACTACATTGACTACATCTACTACTGCTACTACTATTATATGTTATATTTTTTAGAATTGTATAGCTATCATTATGGCACAACTTGGATGTTATGTCCCTGCAAGAAAATGTTTACTGACACCCTTTGATAGGATTTATACACGTATTGGAGCCAATGATAATATTTTAGCAGGGCAAAGTACGTTTATGGTGGAGTTAAGTGAAACTTCAAGAATTTTGCATGAAGCCACACCAAGATCTATGGTTATATTGGATGAATTGGGTCGTGGTACTTCTACATTTGATGGATATGCCATTGCCTATTCTGTTTTACATTATTTGGCCACATATATTGGCTGTCTGGGATTATTTTCTACTCATTATGGAATGCTAACCAAAGAATTTTCCAATAACCCAAATATTGCTCTTAAACATATGAGCTGTCATATGAATCAAAAACTTAGGGAAGTTACGTTTCTTTATAAACTTGTTCCTGGTGTATGCCCAAAATCATATGGAATGAATGTTGCTAGTATGGCAGGAATTCCAAATCAGATTGTGGAACGTGCAGAAGTTATTGCCAGGAAATTTGAAGAATCTTCAAAGTTTAATAATACGTTGACAGCCAATGGTTCAGATATACAATTATCCACTCAAAGTGATTTTGTATATTTGTTAAGATCAATTCAAAAAGTTAAACCCGTTATTTCAGACGTTGGTGATAGGGCAACGGATAATCAAACAGAGCATGAAAAAGAAAAGAGAGAAACTAGAATCCTAAAGGCATTAATTTGCGGCATAAAAAAGTTGTAGAATTTTTATGTAATAATAGATTTAGTATTATTATTTTTTCCCTTTAATATGTAATCCTTTTTTTTTATCTGTAATTATAATTATGTTAGATTTTTGAAATAAAGTTACTAACTTGGAGCGATTTTCGCTAAACCCAACTTGATTAATTCGTGTCATTTTATCAAGTGTCACAAAAGGTAATCAATCGATCAAAGAAAAATTTTTTTTCTGAAATAAACAAAATAATAATGTTTAATTCAACACGTATAAGAAGCTTTATAATAAGCACAAATCAAAAAAAAAAAATTTTTCAACAATATCAATCTTTTGCTTCAACCACCACAAATAGTAACAACTACAACAGCTCATCAAATTTAAAAAAAAACACATTTAATTATATTATAGGGTCTTTAGTGTTGATTGGACTTGGTGGCTCGACGTATTCTTATTATAGAAAAAAAACAGGGGGAGGAAATTTATTGAATGGTGGTGGTAGCGGCGGCACAAACGAGATTGAAAATTCAGATACGCCACGACATAATCATAAGATAATAAGAACATTGGAAGAAGCTACATTAAAACTTCGAGAAAATCAAAAATCATTTTTATTTCAACGAAACAATGGTGTACTAAGATATGATACTAATCAACTGGCATCAAATGAACCAATTGAAGATACAAAAAGTGAAGTATACTATTCGTCATCATCATCACCGTCACCATTAACATTAACATCAACAACATCAGCATCAACAAATGACAAAAATAAAAGAAACACAGGAGACCAATTATTTTTTGGAGTTTATGATGGACACGCTGGTTATTCCACATCACATTTATTGGCCAAAGCATTGATACCAAAAGTCAAAGAAGAATTGGACAAAGCGTATTTAGGAATTGAACAATATTCGAAATTTATTGGACAAAAGGCCAAATTGACAGAATTAGCGATCCAAAATGCTTTTGTAAATCTGGACAAAGACATTGTATACTATTCGGTTGAACGGTCTTTGAACAACGAGAAATCAACGTCTATTGACGAAGGAATTTTAACTGCTTTATCGGGATCGTGTTCATTACTAGCCTATATTGACACATTGGAAAAAGATTTGTACGTTGCATGTACGGGAGATTCTAGAGCTGTCATTGGCCATAAAGATTTAGAAACTGGCAAGTGGGTGGTATTACCATTAAGCGAGGATCAAACTGGTAGAAACAAGAAAGAAATTGAAAGAATTAATAAAGAGCATCCAGGTGAGGAAGTAATAAGAGCTGGAAGAGTGTTTGGAGGTTTAGAACCAACTAGAGCTTTTGGTGATGCAAAGTAAGTTTTTTTGGAATAATAATAGTAAAAATATATAGAAACTAATAAATAAATTAATAAATAAATAAAAATGTTTTTTTTAAAAGATATAAATGGGATAAAAATACAAACGGGTTGATATATTCAAAATATTTTAAAGAAAAACAACATGTACCAGGTGGAGAAAAATTCAAAACACCACCTTATGTCACAGCTAAACCAGAGATAACACATCACAAAATTCAATCAAATGACAAATTTTTGGTAATAGCAACTGATGGATTATGGGATAGGTTGAGTAATAATGAAGTGGTGGAATTAGTTGGAATGTTATATGATCAGAAAATAAATCCAAAACAAAATAACAACAACAGTAACAACATGAATAACAATATAATTCAAAATGATGTTGAGAAAAATTTTGTTTTGGAAGATGAAAATGCATCCACTCATTTAATAAGAAATTCACTTGGGGGAGCTGATAATAAAATTTTATGTTCACTTTTATCAATACCACCGCCAATGTCCAGAAGACATAGAGATGATATTACCGTGACTGTAATATTTTTTGAAAATTAATTAATTACTCTTATAAGTTCGGTTGTATATTTGTTTATAAATAAAATACATAATACATATATACATACACCACACAACGTACAACAACCAGCAATCCAAAAAAAGCACATTTCATATATATATATATATATATATTATATAAAAATAAATAAATACACATAACACACAACAATCATCAGAAATCAGCCGTTATACACACACCTTGGAAAAACAGATAATGAAAATAATACAATTTTTTTTTTATTATTAAAAATAAAACTTCAAAAAAAAATGGGGATTTTTTTTTGATTTTGATACTATTACAATTTTAATATATAATATAGCTTTAACCACCAATTGTTAGTCATTGTGATTACATGGTTGACACCATAATTTATTAATATTACATTGAAATTTCTCAAATATTTATCATTTTAATTGTACTTGAACAGATCTATAGAAATCATCATTGTTGTTATTATTATAATGACTTTTATCATTGCTATCATCGTTATTATTACCACTATCTCCAACATCACTATTATCATTATTTTTATTGTTAACATTACCACCACTATTATTACCACTTAACGGAGGTAAAATTGGAGGTGGTGGTGATGATTGTTGTTGTAAATATCCACCAAGATGTCCACTTAGATGATGATGTGGACTAGATAGAACGGGTGATGATGACGACGACGAATAATGATGTTGAAATTGTTGCGGAGTTGGTGGTGATAATCGAGGAGAAAGTGATGGTGGTGGGAGATGATGTGTAAGATGATGATGCGATGGTGGTAATAGTGGTGTTGTAGAAATTGGTGGTAGAATTGATTGTTGATGACGATGATGATGAAGTTGAGCATTGTTGTTATGTGGTGGCGGTGATGATATCATCATTGATAAAGTTGGAGTAGGAGGAGGAGGGGAAGAAGAGATGGCGGATGGAGTAGTGGCGATATGCGTATTATTATTGAAGTTTTGATTATTAATATTGTTGTCGCCATTGTTATTATTTTTTCGACAATGTTCAATTACTTCAATCGACGCTTCAATTATTTGTGCATGTACCAAAGTATTGGATCGACTTGCATCCAAAATCTATTAAACAAAAAATTACCTATTAAAAATTTATATTAAACCCGCAAGATTTTTTATAAAGGTTACTATTTGTTTTTAATATTACCTTCCAATGCGATTCTGCTAAACGTATAAAAGCATCTTGCATTCTTTTTTTCCAATCTATGATATCATGTCTGTTGTTATTATTATTATTATTACTATTACTAATGCCATCTTCAATTGTATTGCTAATTTCCATTCCACCACTATTATTATTAACATTTCCTCTGCCGATCAAAAAATCATGAGGGTTTGGTATTGATGGTAATGATGAAAAATCCCTTTCCATGTTTAAATAAAATATTAAATCAGGACTTAATAAATGTACATAACTGCCCTTGCACCAATTTAAATCAAGTCCAGAGGCAGTTGATGATGCTATTGCTGAGTACACGTAACGATCAACAATTAACGTTGTGCCTGACAATAAACATTCCCTCATGATAGGCCTAACATAAATAAATATAATGTTGGTTAGTGATAATTTTTATATAAAAGTAATTAATAGATCAGTTAAAAGATTATGATAATAATAATAAAACATACATTAGCTCCCACCAATGTGCAGATGTTAATAAATGCATTATTTTTGGAGATGATTGTTGTTGTTGGTGATTATTATTTGTTTGATAGGTTTTAATTGCTGATCCTGATGGAGTTGAAATGTCGGGAAATTTCCATAATCTAGCATTTATACCTTCATTTTTTAAAAACTCTAATAGTTTAGTTGATTGTAAAGTTGTTGTGTAATCGTCACATCCTTCAAGCACAATAAGTGCGCCTCTGTTTGTATTATTGTTGTTGTTGTTGTTGTTGAGTGAAGATGATATAATTGTTGAAGATGATGATGATGATGATGCTAGTGCAGTTGCTATTGATAATGATTTTATTGCAGTTGTATTATTATTAGATGCAGATGCAGATGTTGATGTTGAGGAAGTAGAAGAAATAATTCCTGATTGTTGTTGTCGCTGGATTGGTTTTGTAATTGATTGTAATGATGATTGACTAGTAGTGACATATGATTGTGGCGTAGAATGTTGAAATTTTTGTTGTTGTTGTTGTTGTTGTTGTTGTTGTTGTTGTTGTTGTTGTTGTTGTTGTAGATGATTTAGCTGTTGCTGTTGCTGTTGCTGTTGCTGCAGATGATTTAGATGATTTAGCTGTTGTTGTTGTTGTTGTTGTTGTTGTTGTTGTTGTTGCTGTTGTTGTTGTTGTTGTTGTCTTGGAATATGATGATGCTTCGATGATTGTTGTTGTTTTTGTTGATTATGGATATAATAATGATTACCTAATAATTTAGGTTGTTGTATAAATTGATGTAAATTTGTTTGATGTTGTTGTTGTTGATGATGTTGTTGTTGTTGTTGATGATGAAATGTTGATTGAGTGGCGTTAGATGAAGCCTCTACAGCAAATTTTGCATTGAGCATATCAGAAGGAGACGGTTTATTATTGTTGTTGCGTAGTGCTATAAATGAAAAAAAAATTATCGGTTAATTAAAAAATTTATTAATTAAAAATAAAATACTCTTTTTTTCTAATCTTACCCAATGCTTTTGAACCACCTGCTATAATAACAACAGATTTTGAAAGATCCTCATCATTATTATTAATCCCTCCTCTATTACTACCACGATTGATTTCAATTTTTCTAGAATGATGAATATTAGACCTTTTATTATTGTTGTTATTGTTATCACTGCTATTATTGGTGGTGTTAGAAAGTTCAATCACAAAATTGTCCATTTTATCTTGAACACCACTATTACTACTACTATTCATCACCATAAAATTATCATCATTGTTATTATTATTACCGGAGCCAGTCATCATCATAACATTGGCAGCAACAACAGGAGTACCAGGACCTTTTAACGGCTTTTTAAAAGTAGGACCGACGACTCTACGTCTAGGTTGATACTTGTAATCAGGCCAAGCCTTCATATGACGTTCTTTTGCCTCCTCAGCTTTACGTTTCCATTCATCTTTCTCTTTATCACTTAGCCTTCTCCAATGATCGGCGATTATTCGTGATATTTCCGAGTTGTTTATACCAGGATTTTTATTTAATATTAAAGGGTGATGGTGTTGACGATATAAAATGAAGGAGTTTGGTGGGCGAGGAATATAGGGTTTTTTACGAATTTGTTTTGTAACAAACGTTATATTTGATGATGATGATATACTACCAGTTGGTGATGTTACCGTGTCAGTGAAATCGACATCATTGTTGTTATTGGAGCTTGTTGTGTCGATAAAGTTTGAAGAGTTAATCATGGCAGTGTTTTTTGATGATGGCGATGATGGTGACGATGATGATGGTGAAATATTGTCAGAAGCAGATAATTTTTCACTCATCATCATAACCATTTCATCATACGGTAATAAAATTTCAGAGCCATTATCATCATCCTCATCATGTTCATTTTGTTCTTCCACCACATCATCTTCTTCGCCATCATCATCTTTTTGGTTATTGTTATCATCAATGATCATTTTTGAAGAATTATTATTATTATCATTATCGTGATCATAATCCAATTTAGGATCTACTTGATGATGTTGAATTACTAGCGTCCGTCTTTGACGCTTTGCATTTATTTTACGCGGACGATGAAGTAAAATTTGTTTTTTCTTCAGATCGGAGGACACCGGCAATTCTTCTTTTACAATTTCGTTATCATAACGATGAAGATGATCGTTGTCATCAATGTCCATTATGTCATCATCATCGTTATCGTTATCATTATTATAGATACCTTTTCTTTTCTTTTTTGACGATGATAATGGTGATGATGGTGATAATAATGGTGATGATGATAAATCATTGTTGTTGTCAATGCTTATTTGATCATCATTACTGATAGTAGTAGCGTTAGTAGTAGAATTACCATCATTATTATTATTATTATTACTATTATCGTTGTTGTTATTATTATCATGATTAATTAGATTAGAAATACTAGCAGCCGAGCTTGCGTTATCAATAACTTTTGAGGAGGAGGAAGAGGAAAAGGACAAGTTAATATCATTAGTGTCGTTGTTATTATCGTTGTTATTATTGTTGTTGTTGTTGAGATTAACATTTTGTTCATTATAAACTTCATTATAATCATCATTTTCAGAATAGACTAATTGATCGATCTCATCTTCGCCGCTACTGCCACTGCTGCTTTTTTTTTTATTTTTATTTTTTTTGTTGTTTTTTTTGTTATTACTATTTTCAGAACGAGTGCTGCTGCTGCTGCTGATAGAAGCACTATTGGTGGTGGCGGTGGTGGCGGCAACATTTATTATAGATTCATCATCATCAACATTATTAGCAACATTGCTTTTTTCTACAACATCATCATTATCATTGTCATCATTATTATTTTCTTCAACAATTAAATCTTCTTTTTCGTTCTTTTCTTCTTGTTGTGATAATATTTGTGATTGTGATTTTGGATGAGGATCAGAAGAATTAGAATGCGGTGATGGTGATTTTTGTGGTGATGAAGAATTTGATGGTGTTGATTCTGTGGTGTTTGAGATTGTGGAAGACGATGTCATTATCATAACTACATCTATTAAACATTAAAATTAAAACAAAATAAAAGTGTAAAAGAATAATTAAAATTTTGTATTTAAATATTAAAATATTAGATTATTGTTATAATTCGTAACATAAACAAAAACAAACCAAAGACAAAAAAAAACAAGAAAGATTTGAGCGAGTCGACGAATGTAAGGAAAAAATCAGAAAGTAAATAAATAAATTACTAATTGATATAAATACTAATTAATTAATTTAATAAAAATAATAATGTATAACTAGAATAAGAAAAAAATTTTGTGACGACGATCTTGGATTTTTTTAATTAATAAACAATAATAATAATAATAATAATAATAATAATAATAATAATAATAATAATAATAATAATAATAGTAATAATAATAATAACCAAAAGAACGAAAATATTTTCATTCATTTATCTCATTCATCCATTCATCCTTTCATTCATATAAGGATATTAATAACATTATTATTGTTGTTAGTTATTGTTGTTTGTTGTCGTTGTTAAAGTTGTTATTATTGTTGTTGCTATTGTTATTATTGTTAAATATTAAGTGTTAAGGGATTGATTGATTATTTATTATTATTATTACTATATTATTATTATTATATCATTATTATATCATTATTATATCATTATTATCTTTCTTTTTATATAAAAATCTTAATTGTTAACATTCTAAAAAAAATTCTAATTTCTAATAATAATTAATAATAATAATAATAAAAATGTTAAGAATAAATAAAATGATAAGAATAAACAATAAATAGTAAGATACCTTACTTACCAAGTATTTAAAATATCAATCGATTGATCAATCAACCAAGTTTACAGCAATAATAATAATTGATCTTTATGTTGTTACATTGTTTAATTAAATTGATGTTAGTTCATGTTATTCACGAGATAAAAATTATATATTAGGAGGAAAATAGAAGATTTAAAGAAAAATTTTTTTTAAAAGAATGTTAATATGATAACGATTGTAATTATTATATAAAGTCCATTCAAAGTAAAAATAGAAAACAACAATCAATAACCATAATCATAATAGTTGTAAGGAGAGGGAGGAGTTGTTGATGGATGGTGATGATGATGTGACGAGTAAGTTGTTTGATTAGTTGGTTGGTGAAGAGGAAAAAGCAGACGGGAGTTGGTAGTAGGGAAGTAATTATTAGTAAAATAAAAGTAAGGAGAGAAGCATACATGTATATAAAAATAAATATTATTAGATATCTTTAAATTTACCTGTTTCACTTTTCTTTTGTACAGAATTACGTGCGATAAGATCTTTATGTGCTGTGAAGAAATGCTAAGATTAGATCTTTCTACACACAACTTGGAATCTTCAAATCACTCTGATTATATGACAAACTATTATTATATATAATAGTAGAATAGAATAAAGAAGTATTCTTTTTCGCTGACAAATTAGACAAACAATATGTGTTTATTTATTATTGCTTTTTAAATTTTTTTTGTTTTTAAATTTAACCAACTTTTAAATCAAAAAAAAATTTTTGAAATCTTCAAACAAAAGAAATTTTTTTCCTTAAAAAAAAAAAAAACCTGTATTTATATGAATATATAAATGTATGTATATATATTATATTATATATAAGTAAGAACAATAATAATATTTACAAATTTTGAGTGTTTAGTATAATAAATATTATGTTTTTGATATATATATAATAAAAATAGATATATTATGTAGTATTTTAAATAAATATTAATAGAAAATAAATAGAAAATAAAAAAAATAAATAGAAAAAATAAAAACATCATCAAACAACATCCATCAATTGATAACTAATATTTATATAAAAAGAAAATATAAGAAAGAATAATGAATGAAAATGAAAAAAAAATCGAGAATAAAAAATTAAAATTATTTATTTATTATTAAAATACTTGCTTGTTACACACAGTGCACCTATTTTGTCATTATTTATTTATTCATTCATTATTATTATTTATTATAATTATTATATTCATTATTATATTATTATTATTTATTTTAACTTTCAAACTTTAATAATTGGTAGTTTATTTGGAAGTTTATAATAAATTAGTATATTAGTAGTTTTACCCAAATAGTACATTTTAAATTAGGATTAAGTTTTTTTTCTTTCTTTCTTTATGTGTATGAATGAATGAATCGCGTTTCAAGCGGTTATTTTCTTTGCAACAAGCAACAGATCTTGAAGTTGGGAGGGAAATCGAAAGACAGATGGAAAAATGAGTGAGTGAGTGAATGAACGAACGAACGAATGAATGAATGAATGAATGATTCAAGAATTGAAATATCAGAAAAAGACAAGTTTATTTCTTTCTCCTTAATTATTAATTAATTAATTAAAATTGAATGTGCAACAAAAACATAAAAACATAATAATAAAAAACAATCAATTACAGGCAGAATTAAGATTAAATTTTTACAAGGAATTTTTAGGTATTTTATTGTTAAATAATAATAACACAAATTATTTATTGTTTCAAATTATATTAATATTAATATATATTAATATATATACTATTAATAATATATATATTATTAATGGGAAATTTAGAGTCTTCTTTAATTAGAATTTTTTTATCTTGGTTTTTTTTCCATTGTAAACAATAGAAGAATGAATAATCATAAATCTTAATCATGAATTTAAATAAAGTTGATCCGCACAGTCCCATTGCAATTAATTAATTCTTCTTAAAATATAAAAATAAAACATTCTTAATTTTCATTATTATTCTTTTACCAAAAATGTCGAACAAAAAAATTTTAATTTATATAAAAGTTTTTTTTTCATCCTGTTTTGTCTTGTTTTTGATGTCTAATTTAATTACTTGATTTTTTTATATTTTACTTTTAATTAACAATGCAAATATTATATCCCTAACATATGATGATGATGATTGAATATATCAGTCAGCTGTTACAATAATATTTTATATATTACTATCAAATACTATCAGTTAAAATTTTATACATGTAAATATTTACATAATATTTATGCATTATATATATATATATATAACGTATATATATATATATACATATAAGAGATATATATATATTAATATATTATATAAATAAAATTTCCCGCCAAAAAAAAAAAAAAATAAAAAAGTTAATTGGGAATAAGTTAATAATAATCCATAAAACAATTCTGGTTTGTTGAAAATAAAGTGTACAATAATAAATGATAATTAAAATAATAAATAATAATTATTTTTATCTGTAAATATTTATGTAAAATGTTATGTAAAATGAAAACATCGTGTAAAGTACGTGGGGAAGCGTCATCTCTCGAATTAAATTTTACCTCTAAATCATCATATTCGCGTCATGATGACGATATATGTGCTGTATATTTATATAATATATATATAAGGTCTCATTCCCATAATAGACTTTGAATAAAACTCTCTACAAAAATAGCCCAGTAATAAAATCCTAAGAATAATTAATTGACTTGGACTGGCATTTTTACTGGGTCTATTATCCTACCAACAATTATTTTTAGATCTATCCGTCCATTACTTTTCATTTACCCAATTACCAACCAACCAAATAACCAATCTGGGTTAATTAACCACCAATTAAACAATTAAAACAATTAACCAATCAAATAATCAAATAATTGAACAATCCATAAACCAATAATCGTATATATTAAATATTTAGTCGTCATAGAAATAGCGATCTTATGGTATTACTAATAATAATTGTGTTTGTGTTTTGATTTTAGTTTATTTTTTTTTGGCGGGAAATAAGTAATACACAATGATTTATCTATCATTTTTTAAAAACAATGATACATTAATTAAATAATTAAATAATCATTTAACTTCACTTACACTAGTTATTAATTTGATTAATTAAAAAAATTTTTTTTTATAGTAAACAATAGAAACAATGATAATTTTTTTCCTTGTTTAAGATATTTTGGTTACACGAAGCATCTAAGTTCATTCTGCATAATAATTCATCATTCATACATACATTCACCACCTATTGAGAAAAGAAGAAAATGATGTAACATATACGAGATGAATGGTTAGGAATGGTCAAACAAAAAATTTATTTATTTTATTCATTGTTTTCACCAAATCATTTCACGTCATGTAAAATAAAATTTTCGTAAAAGTTGCACAAAATTAAGATTTGTGCGTGTAATTTAAAAAAATATGATAATTCATTATCCTTAAAGTTTTCGTAAACCTAATTGATTTAGATAAGTGATGCACTGGATATTTATTGTTAGGGTGTCCAGGATTATGCTTTTTTTTTTGCAAATTATGCTTTTTTTTCTTCCAAATTATGCCCTGGTGCTTTTTTTTTCATAATTTTTGGGCAAATTTATAATAATTCCGACCAAAATTAATATTAAAATTTTTAATCAGAAAAATTAAAATTTTTTAATCGAATCTTCTTTTAAAGCTGTGCGTTTATTAGTTAATATGCTTTTATAAATTGACAACATCAACACCGGACACAGGAAGTTTCATCAACAGTTATACTAATCATTTTATTTTTTATTAAAATTTTTAATTT